TATAGTTTATCAAATATAAGGTCAACTTTGGTCACATCAAACGAGAACGTTCTAGCCTTTTTGTTTTCATCTTTTATATGCTCATCCTTGCCTGACGATCTAGACTTAGCCATTATAGGACAAGTATACGCGTCTCCTTTGATTAATTCGGCCAAACACATTTCGGTTTGATCATGATACTCGTCATTAATGGTATGAACATCAAAATTTGGGTCTCTATAATAAGTCTCCTTACTAGAATTTTTCATTTGCTATTCTTCTCTTATTAATCGTTCATACCTTATCACGTTTGCGCTCAATTGGAAAAGATCAGAAAATTCCCTGCCTTGGAATTTCTTTTTCAAATCAAAGCTTAGACGACTTTGAGCGATTTTGACAAACTTCTTTTCGGGCAACGGTACAAAACATTTACTTCTTGCAATCTTAATCCTTTGAAGGAAACCTTCTATCCATTCGTTTGGCATTTGACGTAGATTCGCCAAATCAGCCAAAGTAATTTCTGACTCAGTCTTATAAAACTGAGTATGGAGCAATTGCTCCAATTGTTGCCATATTTGAACAGAGTTCGCTGGCAAATTGATAAACCAGGAGAAAGTCACTCCTGTTAATGAACTAGGGAACAACCTCATTTTATGGTAGTCGGTTACTTCACACTTTGTAGTGTGAATCGCCCTATGTGTTCTAGAGTAGACATCTCTCCTAAACCGATAAATAATGAGAATTCTGGCACTTTATATCCTCTAGACCATGGATATGCTTGGTCTACCCAATCAGGATATGGCTTTGTGTAAGTCGGCCTAATGACAGGACGTACCCCAAAAGCCATTTGATCATGTACTATTTCCATAATTTGATTTCTCAACATAACGTTGGGGTCATATGGAATTCCTACAGGTTAGTTGATTGGTTGATTTACCTGAGACCTGATGTTTGGTCCTTGGTTGACAACAAAGTTGTCATAATTTGGGTCATTGTTACCATTAGTCTGAATATTTATTCCATCATTAACACGTGGGGTATTCTGTCCATTATTTAGGACATTGTCTCTTACATTTAGGTTACCCCCAAGTTAGATGTACCATTACCACTATTTTGATTTTGCATTACAACATCCCCTGGTTTGAAGTAGACGGACCAAAAGGTGGTTCTATCCCTTGATTTGGACTTAGAACTGAGAAATTATGTCCTACAATTGTCCTACCTTGAAAGTGACTTGCAATAGGCATAATTGGCTGACAAATTTGGCCTACTAACTTATTCATTATTTCATTTAATGTATTCAGTTATTTTGCCATGTCATAATGTGTATTCCCATTCTGGGTAAATCTTTCCATATTATGAACATTTCGTAGATTTACCCGTTCAACAACATCCTGTGTGAGTTCTCCAAGCAATGCACGCACGGTTCGAGGACTCAACTCTGTCATTGGTTCGTAACGACTGTGACTGCTCTGACTCTGTCCCTCTGTTCGTGGAGAGCTTTGCTGCTCCTCATATCGCTAGATCACAGATTGGACTCCTCCCTGACTTGCTGCTTCCTTATCAGATTTGTGAGGCATATTGTTTCACTTTTTGTATCCTCAACACCAAACACCAATATCCTACTGGGCGTGCCAAATCGTTTCGCGCAGGTAGTCACTAACAATTAAAAAAGGGATTGGATGATTGTGTAAGGAACAAACCTCTTGAAACAAAGTCTCAAAAATGAGTGTTTTATTGGCGATGATTTACAATTGGAAATAAACAGAATGCCTCCAAGGGGCGCAAGCACACGAGTACTAAAAGAAGTGTTTAAATTTAAGCTAAGAAATTAAAACTACATATTCTCTGTTTGAGAGTGTTTTCATCCCTCTTTTTCTATGCCTTCTCTTCCTTTTTATATTCCCTTGATGATTTTCTCGTGACAAACCACTTGGAAACTGCTTGATTGTTTTATAATTACTCACTTTCTTTATGGTGGCTAACTTGTCATGGAATTGCCGTCTCTAGCTGCTGTCATTACTCTTTGTCGTTCAATCGTCTTCAATTGGGCTCCTTGAATCGTGGAATGTGATAAGATTACTCAATAACTGCTTCAATAACTGCTATTCTAGATAACTATAATATTTTATGTTTGTTAAGATCCTAGGCGAAGGTTTGGGCGAGAACGGGGTCATCACTCTAGGCGACCATAAGGCACTCCATTCGCTCAAATTCTGGGCGTCTTGCAAGCTTGGGCGATGATGTTACTATATTCGTGGGCTTCCACTGCATTCATCAATAATCCTGTTTGGACCTTTATTCTGGACTCCCCAATTGTGCTTCACTCTTTGGGCTATTTGATTTGGGCTGTACTTTTAGTGTGTCAACAATGGTATTTCATTACTGGTCTATATTCTAGACTATTAGAGAACGTAAGATCTTCTTTAAATTTCTAAATTAAAATATTCTCCATTCTCACTAGTTGAAGTTGTATATGATGAGTTCGTATAAAATTTGAAATAACATTGCTAAAATTTTTGGAGACTCACGAGTGATAAATTGAAGTTGCTAAAACTTATTAAAACAATAGAAAATAGATATTTCTTCCAACCTTGGTAAAGTGATCAAAGTTCTCAAAACCGACCCTAGTATAGAGAGCAATAACGTTGCAATAGAAAATATAAGTATTGCTACGCCTATAAAAAGATTATGTTTAAGGGCCTCAAAATAATTAGTCGCTTAGGGCCTCAAAATTATCAAGACCGGCCCTGCCCTTCCACTACCACCCTGTTCCTTCCCCTTTAGATATGCCTCTTTCATTCCTCGACTTGACCTACCCTTACCAAAGTTTGAGTTTGCCTCTACCTCGGTCTCAACATTTAGTGAAGATTGGTGTCGATGATTGATCTGAATCTTACCTTCAAACTTCTTCAACTAGAATTTAGTTCCTATTTGACAACCTTTAAAATTTTAAATTGTTTGTTACAATATCATTCTCGATCACACATTCACACAATAAAATATTTTACACATAAATCAATAGCGTTTGATTACTTTTTAACCACACATTCTTCAAAAGTACTCTTCAAAACTATTTAATTCTTCAAATAATGGGTGATAAACAGGGGCTAAGATCTTTGAACTTCAATTTCGCACTGCCTATTGAATTACTAACAATACCACTGATTGGCTCCTAACTGTTTGGTAATGAGGTCATGAAAATTAGGGCACGAACTTCATCATCAAATCGATTTCAAAAGACGACAACTGATTGATTATCATGTTGAACTCATTCAAACGTTGTGCCATTGAACCACCTTTTATTATCTTCAGTTGGATAACTTTTTCATCAAGTGGACTCTCAAGAAAATCAAATTTTTTTTTTATCTTTATTTTACTATTCCAATCGTTATTTTTTACTTCTTCTCTCATAAGTAGGATCTACTTTTCTCTCTAATCAATTCTCAAAATTGCTACCGAACAAGCCAATATCAGACAAAACCTTCATCAATGCCTTGTGGCCTTCTTTGCCACGTTATGTACCACATTTTTAGACTGCAGCAATCGGATGACATCCAATTCCTATCCATCAAGAAGTTTGCCCTCATCGTCTATTGTCTTTTCTTGTTTCTCTCCCAAGAGTAATTAATCAAACAAAATAAGAAAATGAAAGATAGAATAACCTGTGATATTACAATGTGCTTCACTCTTAATTTGAGAACAACTGCATTAGGTGCCACCATTGAAATTATATATCAAAGAAGAGAATTACAATGTATTTTTGGACTCATGCCTCTCTTTGTTTTTTCTCTGCTATCGATATACATAATGGAGGCTCGTCCTAATGTCCTTATATAGGAGGAAAATCATACGTGTGAAATTTTCCAAAGTACCACTTTTAACACTTCAAATATTTCACCGTGATTGAGTATGTTAGGCTCCGCACATCTATTAAACGGTGTCACCATTTTTTCCTCTCAACCTTTATCGCCAACACATACAAAACTCAAGCTTAATGTAGATGTCTCAGTTAGGGAGAGGAATGACTTCTTTGGTGTTGAAGAGGTCTGCTAGGATGACAAAGGGATTGAGAAGCTAACAGTGGGGCACATGTTCTTGTTTTGAACGTCATATAAATTTTTTAGAACTTGACTCAGTTTGATGATCACCAATCTTTGTGTTAAGCTGTGTAGTTTAATTATTTCCGTTACATGAAGTCACTATATAGTTCGATTTCCACAATGAGATCGTCTTAAAGGTTGGACGATGGGCAGAAAGCCCCCTCCCGAAACCAAAATTGTCAAGCATACGATAGGAATTTGTATCTTTGTAAATTTCATCTAAGGAATTTGTGCACTTGCAAATTTCGATTTTGCAATAATTTATTTTATAGATAAAGAGCCATCATTCAACTTCTAGATTGCCATCGTAAAAGAGAGAAATAGAGGTTAGAATGTTTTTACAACAATGAAAAATAACGTAGTTTCACATTGAAATGAACCCCTATAAAACTTGTGAAGAAGAGTCACATATCAAATCCCTAACAATATTCTTAAAGATGGAAATAGTATCAAAAGCGCGTGGATTAAGAAAAACAATATTTTCCCAATAAAAACACGTTAAATAAAGGAAACAATATCATCCCAATAAAGAACGCGTGGAATAAAGGAAACAATATTTTCCCAAAAAACCCAACCGAATTTGGATAAAAAACCCAACAATTTTATTACTAGACTAATAATAATTTACTGCTAGCTTGCGATCGCAAATTTGGTAATGCAAACAATAAAGCACTGGATAGTACGTCGATTATACAATTCAATACTGGGTATCATTCGTAACCAAAGTGAAAACTAGTACCGCCCGACCACTCTATCCAAAATGAAAATAAACACCATCCCATAAGAACCCAGTTTCAAGAAAAGGCAACAGTTTTAGCATGAAAGGAAAAATTCTAGAGTCACAGGGAAAAGGGTTATGCGAAGTGCAGCAAACAAATGGAAACGTATTAGCAATAATTGAAATGGAAAAGGCCGGGGTTCCAACGCAAAAAAATGAAAATAACTCACCGTCTTTGCCAAATCACATTATAAAATCCTATGAGGAAAACTTACAGGTATAAATATATTTCTAAATACAAATAATGCCCCCCCTATAAATCAAATTTTCTTTCCACGAAGTTGAAGAGAAGTATAAATAAAAAAGAAAAAGAAAAGAAAGAAACCAACATTTCGGATCACCATTCACATAATTTGCAACACTGAATCTACACATTGGCTACAATCTAAACCTCAATATATGCCATGGCAAAAGGTTGAAAGCGAAATCATCTCCTACCGGAATTGTTATGTCGCTGGTTCCTAAAGTACCTAAGAAGTTCTTGAGCCTGCAAGAGTGGGTAATCAGTGAATAATATGCTATCTTAAAATCACAGTGAGAATGGAGAAAGTAACGTTGGAGTTGAAACTTCACCTTTTCTCTGGCTCTAGGCGTCCCAGATTGTGATAATGCCACTAATGGGGGAACAGCTCCTTCCCGGAGAACCATAATGCAAAATCTACTGCTATTAGTGCACAACTGGAGGAGAGCAGCAGCTGCATTCTCTTTACCTCTAGCCGAGCCCAGCTCGACCACTTCAACCAGGACAGGGATTCCTCCTTCCTGACCAATTGCTATCCGTCCCTCGTGGATAGTAGCAAGATTAGATAAAACAGCGACTGCCTTATCGACCATTCCAGTAGCAGGGTCCATCAATTCAATGAGGTACTTCACAGCACCTGCCTGCACAATACGGGCCTTGTTCTCGTGAAATATTGACAAGTTAAACAAAGCTGTGGCAGCATCTTTCCTGCCTCTTGGAGTTCCATTTCCCAATAGATCAACAAGGGGTTTGATTGCCCCAGACCTTCCAATCTTGATTTTGTTTTCTTCAATCACCGAGAGACTAAAAAGAGTGGCAGCCGAGTTTTCCTTAGCTTCAGGGCTGCCTGTCTCAAGGACATGTATCAGAGGTTGAATTGCATCAGCATTTGCAATTGCATTCTTGTTATTGTCATTAATTGATAGGTTGAGAAGAGCAGTAACAGCATTTTCTTGTACTTTTGAGTCAGTTGAAAGTAGTAGATTCACCAATAAGCT